AATTAGCAAATTTCTTTTTTTTTTTTGCTAGCCAGCTTGAAAGTGTGCTGTTTTTCACATTGCCCTGCCCATGTGTAAATGTTTCCAGTTTCAAACAGATCAGAGTGGCCGCCATCTTTGCTTTTTTGGATTTGGTGCGCACACACACGCACTTACACACGTGTTTAGGGGCATCCACAAATCAACCCAATCTTTTTTTTTTTTTTTTTGTATTAAAACACTACTCAGCACTTTCAAGTATGTTTTTTTATTGTGCATTTAACACTCATAGACAAAAAACATGGCACTCCTTCACTAGAACGTTAGAAAAATACATTGCAGATTGGTGGAATGTTGTCTTAACATGGCAGTGAGCTGGGTGTTTTCATCTAGTCCTCGTGATCTCTCTACCGACACATGGTTTGGGATATACAAGCATTTCTTCAGTCTTTTACTTGGTTAAAAGCACCTTTGTTTATGAAAAATGCAGCAATCTGTTGAATGAACAGAGGATTCCCAGTACAATGAGCTTATAAAGATTTCCTATGAACCTTTACTTTTAACACTTCCTTTTAAAAAAAAAAAAGACTACACGTAGAATAGTTCAAAGCTGAATGTATAGGAGGATAAAGTACACTGTATTAGCATACATGTTTAATCAACCAGGCAAATATTGTCAGTAATTATTATATCACTGAAAAGAATGCTTTAAATTATTTGACAATAAACTGTACTCATCTACTTTGTGTTAAACCTTTAAAACATCTTTGCTTATTACCTGTAGTATGGGGCAGTGACATGACTAAAGCCAGCCATAGATGGAGCGATTTTCTTTTGTTGCAGGAAATCGCTTGACTCTCCCATCAACACAACCAGTGTCAATGGGGCAGTCCCTCCCGTGAAGCTATTGTGTTCTCCTGACAAGGACAGCTCCCCCCAACACCCCGCCGGGAGAACACAGTGATTACTGCTAGCAGCTATAATAGCTGCTTGCAATAATCGCATGTTAAATCCGACTGGCTGGTTGTACCCAAGCTGATCAATTGATCATCTTGGGTACATTCAGCTTGCCCATACATGGTTTGAATCTCAGCCAGTCCCTGCTGAACTGGCCGAGATTCAAATCATCTATGGTCAGCTTATGACTTCATGAACACTGGGTGTTAAGCCCTGGTGCATGAGGCTCCAGCATTTAGGCAAGGGTGGAAGGTACAGGCACACTGTCCTGTCCCGCTGCCGGCAGCCTGTCAAAGTCTATGAGAGGCCAACAGCTGCTGAGACTGGAAGGTGCACCAAACGATGCGAACATTTGGTGTTAGTAAGCGCCCAAGGACAATTGCCCAGAATGAAAACTACTCACATTCTAGGCATTTGTCCCTGGGAGCATACTACACTAAATGTAAGTACCACTCGATGCACCGTCTAGTCTCAGCAGCTGTCAGCCTCTCATAGACTTTGACAAGCTGCCGGCAGCGGGACAGGACAGTGTGCCTGTATCCTCCACCCTTGCCTGAATACTGGAGCCTCATGCACCAGGGCTAAATTAAAAATGGGAAACATTACAACTATATAAGGCCATGATGAGATCCATAGAAAGAGCAGTCTTTAAAATAGAATTTTCTCATGCTCATGCTCCCTGGTGCTGGGACAAGAAAGTGTGGACTGAGCTGAATTATTCATATACAAAAAGAACTCTACATAACAATCACTTCTCTCTGTGCTGATGTGTTGTTTCACAATGAAGGTGGTCATAGTATTTGACTCTGCTATCTCTTTCCGTTTAGTTACTTTCTACTTTACATTCCCTCCAGACTAGGAAAGTGACACCAAGGAAAGACATAAATCACATGTAATAGGTGTGTTTTATCATTCAGATCTTAGTTGACAATTATTTTGTATTTAACATTGTCCCACCTATGTGAGTGTGCCTTTAAAATGTGCTTTGAGAGAATATTACTTTGCAGAAAATATCCATCCTATGTGTCCCAGACTGTAAGATATGTCCCATCGATGATAATCATCCATGCTCTGGATACTGCTTTTGAAGTGTAAGGAAGGACCAGCCAGAGCCTGCAGAAGTGAATACTTCCAGTCTGTGGTTTTAATCAGCATATATATTGATTGGCAGTGATCACAATGAAAGAACAAATTGACACCTGCCTAACGCTCAAGTGGTCTAAGAGCCAGACAAGAGTTGTTTTACTCTTTTTAATCATTTTTTATGTGGACATATCAAAGTAGGGTTCTTCATCCAAGGCACAGCTACAAGTTATAGCTGTTAGTGTGTTAGTATGGTAATGTTACATGCAGAGATTTAATTGTGGAATTACAGGCAGTATTTAGATATGGTATAGAACATGCCAATGACACACAACTAATGAAGCTTAGCACACTTTTCATAATCATTCCTCATTGTCTTTTTTCTATTTGTTGACAGCCTGAAATACCTTAGTGCCCTCACTGGTCAGAAAAAGGTTCAGTTTATGCTAGATTAGTGGATCACAAGATTCCTGACCAGAGTTTTAAACTATACAATGATGGCTCCTCCATTTGGGTAGATCCACATTATCAGCTCCACTGTATGTGAATGGGCAGATAGTCTGTCATAATTGCATAAATAGGAAAAATAACAAAGGATACACAATATCAAGTCTGGTTTGGAGGAACCCCTAAATCTCGTACACAGGTTGAGAATATCAGACAAATGATAATCCTTTTTTTTGCATACTAGTCTCATATCGAAAATGAATAGGTTGCTAATGTTATGAATATGTTCGTAGAACAGAATTCAACATCAGAAGTGATGTATTGTTTTGTTGTAATGTATTCTTTTGTTTCTGAGCATGCGCTGTCTTGGTCACTCGACTTTTTTTGGACGAATACTGTACTGATTAAATGAAAATTGTTTGTTCTGCTTATGGTACGAGAAATATTTTTGTGTTTGTCCCTTCGGATAATTTTGCATGAACTGTCGTGATCGGCTCTTGAAAGCTGTGTAGTAACAGTCAGATCGGGGGATCACTCTGAAAGCAGCATTTTGTCTGATTTTCTCATCATGTGTACTAGACTTTATGGTTGCATCCTAGAGGCATTTGCCTTAGAACATCTTTCAAGTGCTCAAGATCATCATGTGTCTCCCTACAAATGTCAGCGGTTGGGCTCCCAATGTGTGTTAGGTTTAAGGGAGCTAAGGATGACAAGATCCAGCTTTAGGCTATACCCACAGTGACACCCTCACCTATGGGTCAAGGCATGCTGCCAGATCAAATGGTAGTTCTAGGAGGATGGCCATCCAAACACATTTTTCATGAAAGTATCTATAATTACACAATGACATTGTTATTCATGAAATATTCAAAGGAGGTTGTGCTGCATAGACTCTTTGACCAACTGTCCAACATGAGATAAAATTAATGCAGTTCTATTTTCTAAAGCCACAATGTGCACAAAAACACTTCCCTGCTTTTAAAACACTGCTCCTAAAATACATCATATAAACAGCATTGCAATGTGTCTTCTCTGCATGGCAGGAGACAAAGACATAAACCTCCAGTCAAGTCTGTCATCCATGTGTGACAGTTGCTATTTGCTGAGGGTTCTGTATTTCTGAAAAATAAATATATTTGGCACATCGAATAGTTTATGGATGAGTCACAAAGTTTCCAGCATTTTGTTTGAAAGAAAAATTTTCACCACTTTGGTGTTTTTGGAAAGGAATTAACAGCAATATCTGGTTCATAAAATGGGAAAACAAAATAGGAAAACTAAAAGCCTTACAAAATTATAACCATACAATGAACAACACATTATGTGTCGGGTCTGTCTAGATAAAACAAATGGGTTGTGCGTGGTTCTTGAAGACTCAATTTATAGTATTGAGAAGTCTATGAAAATGATATTAAGGGACTCACTTGATGTGAATCTATAAGTAAATAATGATGTGTAGTAGCCCATGTCAACCAACTAGATGTCAGATTTAACTGTGCTAGGAAACTCCAGTCTGATGAAAGTTTATATGTAATAATATACAGTAGATTAAAATATATCATATAATTGATAGAATTATATTAAAATGTACCCTTTTTATTCAATCTACAGCTAGCTACTGTATGCTATACTATACCTGTTCAAATTTGGTTTCCTTGAAAACAGTAGAATGTAGATAGCCCAGTGTTCACCCCAATCATGTAATTAACTCACTACCTTCCTGAGCACTTTTTGAACATAATTTGGAAAATGGTCTTGCTATAGCTTATAGTGAAGCTGTCACTGGAAAAACATCAGATCTGCAATTGCCATTCTCCTTCTGAAATTCCTAGTTTCTTTTTATTGTGATGGCCAACCCATTTCAACAATTTCTAAATCACTTACTTGGCTATAGTATGAAGATCAGTTGGTGATATGTCAAAAGTCCTTATCTTTATACATGTTCTGGGTTGGTAGTTTAGTGTTTTTTGTAGGAAGGTCAATATGACACCCAGACAACTGGCATTTTCAGGAGGACAGCTCAGCAATGGCAACATCTATGGTTTCCTAATGTCAATTTTCTTTTAGGAAGGTAGCATGTCACAGTAACCCACTGAAGCCTTTTAGTGCTGCCTGCCCTGCATAGAAGCTATCAGGATTAAAAGATGTGTTCCAACTATAAGGCAATATAGGAAAACAACCATAACAATTATAAAAAGAGTGAGTTTGTGATATTAAATAGCAAATGATATGCTTATTATGTCAACCTAAAATACTTTTTTTTTTTTGCAACCAATCTCATCAAGATTCAATGCCATAAAAAATTACAGAAATCTCCTAAATGAGGCAGTTGGTAAAAGTATTTCTTATATTAGACTAGTTGTATGTAACAGAAAATAAATTATGTAAAATATATCTAAATATTTATATTTTATCTTTTTTCATTACTGCCTCCACGCTTGCAGTGAAATCTCAGGATTGGTCACTTCAGTGGTGGAATGTATAGTAGGCAACATTGTTACAAACACAAGACAGCCAACCAAAGAAATTGTCCCTCATTTAATGGGAGAGTCTAGAATTTCTTGATAATCTTGTCTACCCAATCTTCCTAAATACAGTTTGTAGCCAGCCAATGCAAAGACGCTGATTATTATGACTGCTCCGCCTATTAGGTCATAAGCACTGGGAAACATGCGTAGGACAAGAAGTTGCAGGATCATGGCTACAACAATCTCCAAATGCTGCACTGTGCTGACCAAGGCTGGGTGAAAATTTATATAAAGCATAATAAACACCAAGGAATGCCACAGTAGAACATACACAGATTGCAAAAAGGTAGCCCCAGGTTTCTCCATCTAGAGGAATAATGGGTTCTTGAAGGACAAACATTGTGCATGCTCCCCAAATACTCCCAGTCCACCCAAAGGTGAAAAGAGCAGTCCACATGCTGACCTTCTCTTTGATGGACCTGTAGACTATCATTGAAAGTGCTGTTGTAAGTCCAGCCATTACTGTCATTGTATAACCAAATGCTTCCTTCCAGACACCAAGGAAGGAGTTCTCTTCATTAACAATATTTGGAATCATAACCAAACATGCCCCAAACACACTGCAAACAACAGTGATCAAGTCTACATTTGGCATATGTTCATCCAATAACAAGAAGGCCAGAACAGCACTAAAAACAGTGGTGGTTGCTCTCCACATGATGGTGCCATTGCTTGGAGGGACAATAGAGAATGAGGTGTAGGCACAGGTAATGGAAATAACATTGCACACTCCATAGAATAACAACCGCAGTCTGTACCCCGGAGGTCCAAAAGGAGCCTCTTTATAATAACACACCATGATTATAGAGAGGACTTGGATGACGGAACGGATGAATATTAACTCCAGTGATGGCACTTTGGAACGGTCAGAAACCAGTCTAGTAATAAGTGCTACACATCCATGAGCCAATGCTGACCCAAAGAGTACAGCCCACATTTTCCGAGACTGAAATATAGAGCTGTCTGCAAAGCTTTGTAACTGCTGAGCAAGATCATTGTCAGGATCTTGCATCTGTTTTGGGCGAGCATCCATTGTCCCAAACAAGGTTCTCCCTTTCTTCTTTGCATCTCCTAGTAATCTTTTCTTGGGGTTCTCCTCTACAAATCCCCCATTTTCCTCACTGGTATCTTCATATCCCTCATCTCCAGGTTGTGGATAATGGGATGTGTATTTAACTGTCACAGTGTTGGGGTGTATTTTTACCCTTTTCTTGGATGAGTAAGGTTTGGATGGAGATCTATCCATGTCTTCAAATCCTCACCTGTAAATTATACAAAAATAACAATACAGTTGATTTAAACAGGGATTAGGACAATTATAAATGCAAGCAGATTACTTATTTTAACAGTCTACAATTAGGGAGAATCCTTCCATAGATTTTAATTAGACATAGACACAGGCATAGACATAATTTTCCATATAAAAAATGTTTTTGGAATCTCTATATAATGGCACAAAACAATTTGTTAATCCAACCTCTAAAGGGAAAAACCCTTGTTATTGTCTTGTAAGAGAGTAATGAAGGTACAAACAACCCCAGGAAAGTCTTGGTTGTGGACCTTCTAAATTGTGTAAAAGATCCAGAGCCCAAAGTTTACTACCTAAAACCACTTCTTTGGTGGGGTTGGCTTGTCATGCAATTTTAATCATTTAAAATACACATAAAAAGAGTAATGTTCAAAGAATATCAAGTTCGCATATTTATTCTATTTCATAATAAATCTGTAAATGAAATAAAACATTGCTTTATTAGTTACAGTGAATATGTAGTTTAAATTAAATCCGTTGCTAAGTTTCCATGGAATTTCATACCTACACAAACAGTAGGTGGAATCCTATAGTTAATTTCTGTCTAAAAATATTTTTGTAATAGTTTATGCTCGTGACAGTAAATCCATTTTCAGTGTTTTGCATTTTATCTTTTATTCTGTTCTATATAATAATAAAATAATGTGGCTTTTAATAGTGGCCAAATTTTTGCATAGCCTGCTTGTGCAATCTAGGCATATTATAGGCACCGCTCCATGTGAGTGCAAAATCGTTTGTTTTTTGCTCAAAATGTGTATGTAATAAATGCTACACTTAGAAAGATTTTATATCTGTCTGGTTTATCTGAGTGGCCTGACACCACATCTCCTTAAGGATTAGCTCGCATTGAATACCGAGATGAATCAGAGTTTGCCGAAAATCCCATTGCCTTAGCTTTTGGCCTTATCAATGGAGAGCTGCTGGAGGGGAGCAACATTCTAGGAAAGCCTGAGAGGATGGTTCCCTATATGACCAACAAGGGCATCTGACCACCTTAATTGGGGTCAAAAGGTCTGGTGAGTGAGCAATTTATATATACCTCGCCAGGATGTGGTGAAAATACAAAATTATTCACTTATTTGGGTCACAGCATAGAGGAATAGAAAGGACTGTCACTTCTTTCAAAACCTAAACTCACTTTTGGAATTTTATTGGTTTTTGTGCTTTTTTGTGTTCTTTGTAAAGTTAGTGGAAAATATAGCACCCACTATAGGTCCAATATACAAAATATAACGGTTTGGTTTAGGGGCATGTTGTGAAACAAGCTTCCTTTGTGTTCATGCACATTATTTATGTAGCACTTGTCTATTTATAAATATTGGTTTGCTTATGCAATCTGTCTGGGTCCTCACTTGTGCTTTTTCTGCATGGCTTGTGCATTTTTCTTGCTAGATCAGTAAACTGTTCACTTACTATTCTCCCACCCAGGATTCATACACTGAGAATCAAATTGCTAACAATATTCGGTGATAGCTTGAAGTTACGTGTACAAAGGCAGAGCAGGCAATTTGTCTCTTTCAGCCTCTCTGCACCCAACCTCTTGTGTCTTGTGTGGTTATGACAGCTGTTTTTATTAGTGTAATGCTAAAGCTATCTAGTTGATTGGGTTAGGCTGTGGGCATCACAGGACAGTTGGCCTTAAGGGAAAGTATAAATATGAAGTATAAATATGGCCCTGCTTTTACCGTAAGTAATCATAAACGTCTTCTGTTAAGATATTTTGACTAATAGGGTACATATAACAGTGTGTTCTGTTACAGTGAAATTTGCCTTAAAACATGTAATCATTTGTTTTCATTGAATATGTAAATACAGTGCCTTGAAAAAGTATTCACACCCCTTGAAATTTTCCACATTTTGTCATGTTACAACCAAAAAGGTAAATGTATTTTATTGGGATATTTTGTGATAGACCAACACAAAGTGGCACATAATTGTGAAGTGGAAGGAAAATGATAAATGGTCTAAATAAATAAATATTTCAAGTGTGATGTGCATTTGTATTCAGCCCCCCTGAGTCAATACTTTGTATCGCTTTCCATCTACTTCACAATTATGTGTCATTTTGTGTTGGTCTATTACATATAATCCCAATAAAATACATTTACCTTTTTAGTTGTAACATGACATAATGAGAAAAATTTCAAGGGGTATTAATACTTTTTCAAGGCACTGTATTTGAGGCTAGGCTAGTTTGAAACACGCTTGTGTAAAATAACAGGATCTCCATTTCTGCAATTTGGGAAGTAGATGTGCACTCTCCGCTAGATAACCCAAGAGATACTGTATAAAATACAAATGTATCAATGTACAATGTATCTCAACAGAAAAATAGTTTTGAGTTATACAGTTAGGAGAGAGAAATTTTAATCAATATCAGTAAAATAAACTTTACAGCATCTCTTCTACGATTTTCACATTTCTGCTAAAGCAAAAACAAACCTTTTCCTTTGTTGAAATTTCATAGTGAATGTTGCTGGCACATTCTGTGTGAGTTGAGATCAGGGGCAGACTGACAACTCATGGGGCCCCTGGGCAATAGGGGATCATAAGGCCCTGTGTCCTTGCTCAAACTCAAAAAAGCCTATGAAAGAGGTACCAGGGGCATCTCATGGGGCCCCCTACTGACCCTGGGCCCTAGGGCAGTGCCCGAGTTTCCAAATGGTCAGTCCGCCCCTGGTTGAGATGTACATTCATATGTCCCAGGAGTTGTGCTATTGATATTAATAGGTGTGTATTTTTATGCTAACAGCATGATGGTATCATTATGGTTACTGCAATTAAATGCATTGAATGCCGATCAGGTTAACCGTGCTTATATTTAGTTATTTAAACTATGCCCTTACCAGCTCAAATCTCTAAGCTAAACTATCTGGGAGATGGTAGTCCCACAGATATTACTATGCAAATAGTAACATTCTGAAAATGGTACCTAGTGAGCCCCCCACTTCCATACCACTCAAGTGTGTAAGCAGGAGTTGTGCCTGAAAGTCAGAGTATTTTGGGGGGGGGGGGCCTGGTGGCACAATCTTTTAAAAACGCTTCTAAATGCAAACGTGCATAAACGCGGCTAAATGCGGTATGCAAACGCAGCTAAACTGACATTTTTTTAGCCTACGTTTTCCAGCAGTCAGTTTTCATCGTTCATAAGAGTTTTCCAAACGCCCTGTGTACATGAGTCCTAACGCCAAATGTTTGGTTTGACATTGTACATGTCCAACTGCCTGCAAAATAGCTTCGGCCTCAGTCTACACTATGAAACGCATATGAATTGCACAGGAACCACAACACATTCTTGAGCAATTCACATGTGATTCAGTGTGGTGCAGTTTGAGCCCATTCTTTGTGAATGGGCTCAAATCACACCTCATCACACCAAAGTTGTGCATGCACCAATTTGGGAACTACACTACAGCTGGATTGCATGGTCATTTTGTATCATGCGATCTGGTGCAGACAAATGCACTGCGTTTGCGACCTGCATTTGGGGTGTCATTAAGGTTGCACTGACACCCGCTGAAGATTAAAAGGGCAGTGTGATTCTTATGTGGTGCAGGAAATCTGCGGGTTTTCCGTACTGCATTCTAGTGTGAACCAAGGCTTTCAGTGTATGTCTGGGCAAAAAAATAAAAAATATTTAGTACATCACTGCCATACATGCATATTTGTATTGTACTGTGCCAGTGTGCATTCTGTACGTGTGCTGTTTGTCTTAGAGCAGTCTGTGCACTGTAATTGTACGTTTACTGTCTGCCTGTGCGTGTTCTGGAAGCAGTCTGTTTGTCTGCCTTAGCTGAGTGTGTGGCCCGTCTGTGTTCTATGTGTCTGTGTGTGGTCTTGCTGCCTGTGCTGTGACTGAGTGTGCTATGATTGCCTGAGCTGTGTGTGACTGTCTGTGCTGTGACCATCAGTGCCATAATTGCCTGTGCTGTTATTGTGCTGTGACTGCCCGTGCTATGACTGCCTGTGCTGTGACTGAGTGTGGTGTGACTGCCTGTTCTGTGATTGCCTGTTCTGTGACTGTGCTGTGATTGTCTGTGCTATGACTGCCTGTGCTGTGACTGCCCGTGCTATGACTGCCCGTGCTATGACTGCCTGTGCTGTGACTGAGTGTGGTGTGACTGCCTGTTCTGTGATTGCCTGTTCTGTGACTGTGCTGTGATTGTCTGTGCTGTGACTGCCCGTGCTATGACTGCCTGTGCTGTGACTGCCCGTGCTGTGACTGAGTGTGGTGTGACTGCCTGTTCTGTGATTGCCTGTTCTGTGACTGTGCTGTGATTGTCTGTGCTATGACTGCCTGTGCTGTGACTGCTTGTACTGTGACTGTCTGTGCTGTGACTGAGTGTGCTGTGATTGCCTGAGCTGTGTGTGACTGTCCGTGCTGTGACCATCAGGGCCATAATTGCCTGTGCTGTGACTGTGCTGTGGTTGCCCGTGCTGTGGCTGCTTGTGCTGTGACTGTCTGTGCTATGACTGCCTGTGCTGTGACTGTGATGTGACTGCCTGTTCTGTGACTGTGCTGTGACTATCTGTGCTATGACTGCCTGTGCTGTGACTGCTTGTGTTGTGACTGTCCGTGCTGTGACTGCTTGAGCTGTGACAGTCTATGCTATGACTGCCTGTGCTGTGACTGAGTGTGCTGTGACTGCCTGTTCTGTGACTGTGCTGTGACTGTCTGTGCTATGACTGCCTGTGCTGTGACTGCCTGTTCTGTGACTGTGCTGTGACTGTCTGTGCTATGACTGTCTGTGCTATGACTGCCTGTGCTGTGACTGCCTGTTCTGTGATTGCTTGTTCTGTGACTGTGCTGTGATGGTCTTTTCTGTGACTGCCTGTGCTGTGATTGCTTGTTCTGTCCTTGTGCAGCCTGTGCACCTGCTGTCTGTCTGTGTGTTGGTCTGGGAGCAGTCTGCTTGTGTGTCTTAGCTGGGTGTGCA